TTTCTCTGTATCTATGAAGCGCCTTGAGGCGACTTTTGTTGTGATTTGGCGCTATATAAATAAAATTGAATTGTATTGAATTGAATAGGGAAGGGTGGTGAGTTCATTGCTTATAGGTATGACATGAAAATGATACGGACCTCAAAGATATAGTTCCTAGTAATGAAATAATATCCTTAAATAAGCTGAATTTTAACCTACAAAACACCAAACTTCATAGTGGCCAGTAGCTATGTCAATTTACTGTGTGTGCACTAAAGAATGGTGAAAATACAGAAATTTAAATTATTTTTAACTTGAGCAGAAATGCAGAACTCTTGAGGTTTACTACTATGTGGATGTGCACCTTTAAGGTCTGTGACAATGACCTTGGCAATTTAAATAAATGTATTATGTAATGTTATTTGCGACAGTGTAATTTGGTTACCTTTAGTTTCTGACTGACCACTTTCTTCCATGGTACCAAAAGAACTGTGCCTTCCGTAGCAAAATTATCTTCATGCATGACAATGCACCATCTCATGGTGCAAAGAACATCTGTCGCATTGGCTACTATGGGAATAAAAGGAGAGAAACCCATGGTGTGGCCCCATACTCCCCTGACCTCAACCCTGTTGAGAAAGGTCTGAGGCCTGATTTGGCGCTATATAAATAAAATTGAATTGAATTGAATTGAATTGAATTGAGGGTGAGAGGTAATTCACATGAAAACAGCAGCTGTTGGAGGCAATTGTGATGTCTTGCCTTATCTCTCCACATTTAATGGATGCAAGAATTGGAAAGCTTATATGAAAGAAAGGGTCCTATGTTAACATGTTACATAAGTTTACCTGTCAATGTTTTTGATATACAGTGGGGCAAAAAAGTATTTAGTCAGCCACCGATTGTGCAAGTTCCCCCATAAAACTCGTACCCATTATAGTTTGGTCTTGAGCGCAGCAGGTTTTCAGTCCTTGTTGTTTTCAGTCAGTGTGTTGGATTGGTAACAAGGTAACTAAATTACACTGTAGCAAATAACAGTTCCTAGTAGTGCCATGTATACAATAGGAATTAAATCAATGTTAAGGAGTTCAAATAGTCATTTTTATTGTGTGATCAATCAGTGAGATCCCTAAAGACAAGTGCAGTCGTTTTTTAGGTAGCATTGCCTGTTCACATGAAAAAGGTTTCATTCTTTCATGTCCAAGCCACGTGCAGCATTTCCTCCACAGTCAGTAGCTTTTCTCTGGGTTTCCCACGGGATTCACCTCTTTTCATTTCCACATTGTCAATCTTCTCCCAGTCTGAAAAAGTCACTGGTTCCACTCCTACAGAAGAGAAAAATCACATTTGGCTGTGGCTTAGTGGCAACTTCAGAGAACAGGATTATACAGACGGGTCACTGTGTGCACTGAGATGATGACGACATACCTCACTGCTGCTGTTGCTACTGATTTATGGCTCTCCGTAGCAAATGTTTTGGTGGCATGCAGGATTTATTGCTAGTTTTGTTTTGTAATTTTCTCTTTCAAATCTCTTTGCATCTTTGTTTTTTTTTTTTTGGTTTTTTTTTGCTCTTCGTCATTTTACTTCTTATGTAATCATTTAATGAACTTCACAATAAACACAAACAGTCACTTCAAACAGAATCTCTACAGCCCGACTTTTTGGTGACTGTTCCAGCATTGAGTTCATTTTCCCTTGTTTTTAGTCCAACTGTTTTTGGTCCACGCACATTTACTTTCATGACTTTATACTGGCTCATAGAATAACAGCACATGTCGAGAGCACAGTTATAGGATGTATTGTGAATGACAAACTAACATTTTTATACCTCTCTTTTCCAGCAGAGCACTAATGCTTTGTGATCCAGGCTTGGCAGCAGACATATCCAACGTTCCCGAGTCCATGTCCTCCAAAATGGATCGTGCAGTGTCAAAGCTATTGTTCATAGTGGTAGCTATGACACCTGTGGGGCCTGTTTTAAGCCAGCCGCTACAGTACAGACCTACAAAGAAAAATTGAATCATTAAATATTATTGAAGTAATAAAATATAATATAATGCTTGTTCTTTAGAGTGTTTACAGGGTACCTGCAGCCTGTTTAACGCGGCCCATGGTGTTTGGAACGATGGCTTTGCGGGAGTCAAAAGGCACTGATGGATCAATGGGCAGGCTCTTGTAGCCGATACTGCTGACGACCAGGCCGCAGGGCACGTCCTCCACTTCTCCTGTGAGCACAGCCTGGGCTCCGTCACCTGAACCCTGCTCACAGAGAGGATATCTGCTTTAAAAGGAGCAGCAGCACAGTGACAGGCACTTTTGGAAAACCAAATCCTGCTAACCTCCAGCTTGTTGATCGCCAGTCGGATGCCAGCTATTCTGCTGTGGCCGGGTTCGGCCAAAACTTCCACGGGGCTCCGGAAGAATCGAAAGCCCCAGGTGCGGGAGGCCTTGCTCCGTCTCTCCTGCTCCTTTTCTCCGGGTACCTCTAGGGCCGTCTTCAGCATCAGCTCTGTCAGACGCTTTCTGGGCCTCGGCAAGTCTGACACAGCAGAGATACTTCAGCTTAAAATCGCCCTGCTTTGCTTGCATTTATAACGTCCAAATTTTTAATCTTCCAATTTTTTTTTTTGCATAGAATAGGTAGTGAAAACAACATATACAGTGCTGTGCAAAAGTCTTGAATCATCCCTTATGTCTTTATATTTTGCTTCCATGGAGCCAGGACCTTCTTGTACATTTTAAAGAGCCTTTCTGAAGGTCTTTCAAAGTTTTTCTTTGAACATTGGCTGCCGTTCAACTTATCAATCTACAGCAGATGAACTGAATCTGAAAATCATATCCTTAAGAAACCTGACACGGCACCTGAGAGACGTGACCAATCAATGTTCTGTACTTTGTACCATTTCTTCCCTCTCCTTAGGAAACACTAGTCCCCATCTCCACCCCTATACTTGTTTTCATCTTAAGGGATAAGATGCTTTGTGAATAACTTTTATCTTTCTCCTTACTTAGTCTTTTGATTTTTAAAGGAAATTCCAACAAAACGCCATAATTTTAACAATCTTCTTAGAATTTTGTCACTAGCAGCTACTCTTATACTTGGGAACTTTATGGACACATGCTGTGGTCTCATGACTAGTATATGGCTGTGAATGCATGTGGGTTTTTTTTGGTTTTTTGTACATACAAGTGTGCATGTGGTCTTTCAGTAAGTGATATGTGAGTGTTGCTGTGCATGCACCTTGTATGTGCACATATGCACACATTAGAAATGGCTTTAAGGAACTGGTCTTTATAAATTTCCTGTAACTGCAAAGTTCTGATGTGCTGCTGCGACCACAGACTTGTCACTCCAGTAATGCAAGCTCAGCAGGCACGATTACAACACAGATAAACATAGCCAGCTTCTTTTACCATCCTTCACTGCTATTTATCACTAAAACGAAACATACGCTCAGGGTTATTTTAGCAATCTGTGACCAGAGTCAAGGTTATCGTTATAAATCTGAGAGTGCCTGCCATCATCAAAGAGGCCAGCAGCATTTCTCTGGCAAGGACGAGGCCAGCTTGGGGGGGGGTTGTTGCACAATTCTGTTTTGCACCCTAACCTGCAGGTTCCCACACAACAACAACAGAAAATCTTTCAAACTAAAGCCAGCAGCAGCAGCAGCAGCAGCCTGGGCAGGTTGGCAGTTTCCATTCACCTCACAGTATGTATAAGCTATACGTCTCAGCTGGGTATGCTGTTGTTAACCACAGCTTACCTTTCTTCCTTCCTGATGGCGCTTTCAGCAGTCTGAACATGTGTTACATGCACATGTAGATATCTAACATGTTTTCACTGCTCACTTAAAAACACCAGGCATCTTTTCCAGCTGCACCAGAAAAACTAAATACACTGAAATTTACAGATCTTAAAGGCAGACGAAACTATGTAAACATTTATTGGCTTTAAGAACACAGCAGGTCAGTTAGAGGGGAAAGCATGAAGATAAAGCTGCATGTGGTCTCACCTTTAAGAGCCTCTTTGACTCCATCAAAATCCGCCGCCACCATGTCCGGCCTGGTGTCCGGCAGGTTCACCATTTCTCTGAGCTCCTGTAGAAAAGGAGCATATGTTATGGTTCACTGGGCCAAATTAAAGCATCATTCAAAACATGGAGAATCTCTTTTGGTAAAATTCTGGTGAAATTATATTTACTGCAGTACCAACAATGACAGCGAACATATAAGAGGGGTGATGATCAGACAAGTTTGAAACAGTCTGGCAACAACAACCAAACTGTTCATTTTACAGGACGAACCTCTGATTTTTCAGGGTGACACTGAAAGACTGAAGAATAGTTCAAATAATATAAGCGGAAAAGAAAATAATGTGATGTTGGTCTTGTTTTTTTCACTTTAAACTACAAGATAAAGCTACTCCCTGCAGAGGACACATTTTCTACCAACCTCAGCAGTAACATTACAAGGTCACTGACCAAGTGTGCATGAAAGTGCTCTGGCTTTCTCTCATATTATATTTTCCATATTTTTATTCTTTACTCTTGGACCCAGCTGTAGTAACTTTTAATAGTTAAATTGTTGAATTTTTTTACCCCAAAATGAAGTGGAATTAAAAAAGCAAGCCAAAGCTAACACGTAAACAGGTCATTTAAAAAAAATGCTAAAAACAGCTAAAATTAACAATAAGCATTAGGCAAAGATGCAGATAAAACAGTTGGTTAACACTTGCACAGTGGCTAAAAAGTGCAGTTTGTACCACTCCAATGGATTAAAATAAAGCCTTCTAATAATATTCTGCGTGTCTGTGGTGTTAAGAAACAGGTTTTGGAAGATGCGGTGTGGAGATGAATGGTGACCTGAGGAAGAGGCACTAGAGAACATATTATTCTTTCCTCTTGTTGTCTTTTCTTTCCGACACACACCTTGATTGTGCAAGCGATCTGAATGGGTCCTCTCCTGCCAACTATCAGCACCCTGCGGACCTGGCTCTCTGCCAGAGCCTCCAGTGTTGGTTGTGTGATGTCAGTTTTCTGCAGAAAAAGTTTGACAAGTAAATTACATTTTCAGCTGGAAAACTGAACAGCTTAGAGAGATTTTTTTTTCCAAGTGATTTGATTTCTATTTATTGTTAGCTCATATTGCTGGTTAACACAGGAAGTTTGACTCACAATTTCTTGGACAAATACCCAACTTTTGTAATTTTGCACCATCACAGGCGTACAGACACATTTTAAAAACAATCAGTCAATATGTGATTGATTTTAATTCAGCATGTAACTTCTTTACATTTGATGACTGCCTGCAGTTTAGAACCAACAGACATCACCAAATGCTGCGCTTCCTCTCTTGAGATGCTCTGCCAGGGCCTTTTTTCTTTTTGTTTTTCTTTTGGATTATGCTTTGGGCTTCACTTGTGAAGTGCCGACCAATTTGCAGAATTTGACTAACTGAGCAGTCAAGTCATCGATAAACGTTAGCGATCCTGTTCCACTGGCAGCCATACATTCCCATTCAATAATGCTCCCTCGGTAGAGTATATAACAAATATTATGGTATGCTTCATATACATCATTTCATTTAAAATCCACTTTATTGGTACACAGAGGCAAAACTACAGGAACTGTGTCTTTGTCCAACAAATGTATGTGAGCTCTTGTATCACCTTTTGATATTTGTATGCCCAATTTCCCCACTTTAGTCTGACAAAGCAGCTCATCACTTATTTATTCCAAACAAAACAAATCAAACTTCACTATTATAACTGACACCATGGTGTCCTACATCTACCAGTCAAGTATAAAAGGTCACTGTCATCTTTGACCTTTAATTTTGTGGTTATCAGTGGTGCTTTTGTATGAAATGACACATCAGAGAAACTTGAAGCTGATGAAAATGACTCCACTAAAGTTGACTTTTCTCAGAGACTGTTAGTTCAGTTAGACATTTTAAAAGACGTTAGCTGTGTTTCTCAGCCCTAAAAGCTTCCTGTGGTTACCTCCTGTACATCCTATGATGTCATGCAGGCTCAGAGATGCTAGCTTAAAAAGCCAAACTATGTTTACTTAAACTGAGCCTGAGCGGGTCAGAAGCTGCTATTAGTACAGGTCCCAAGGTTTCAAAGGAAACCAACTGAAATTATTAACAAAGTCATGCATTTGTCTCATGGTAAAGAAAATATCTTCACTATTTGAAAACATTCTGACTTCTCAAGGTGCACGACCCTACAATAATACATTTTACATAGCCTACCAGCCTTTTTAGGGGCTCTTACTTTCCCCTCATGTTCTTCTTCAGTCACGTTTGCCCATTAATTCTTAGTGTCAGGTGGAGGACTGTGATCAGGAAACTAGAAAGGTCAAACTTTACTTGTCAAAACTAGTGAAACTACTCTGTAGCACTATTTCTTATCTTATCTTCATCTATTGATGATTTTCTGTTCAGTTTAGTTTTGTTTTGCATTCTGAAACAACAACAGATAAAGACACAACATTTCTCCATTTGGCTTCACGCTGATGCAATGAAAAACAAAAATATTTTTGAGGTTTCAGCAACGGTGTTTTTGCTTTTCATGCCTAACAGACAAACAAAACATTTGTGATTATTTAAGCAGATAAAATTCCTCAGCTTAAGTGGTTCTTTCATACATCTCAGAGCACTCAAGACTTGCTGACTGAAACATGTCTGCTCTTACTGTTTTTGTTTCTTTTGTTATAAATTTACTGATAACCAACTCGCCTTTAAAATGTCGATGGGAGATAGCAGAATTCTTGCTACATCCAAGGCCACGTTGCCTTGTCCCAATATGACTGCTGTTTCACAGCTCAGGTCTGGACTCAGCTGAAGAAAGAAATCGAACGGATGAGACAGAGAAGCAGTTTCACCTGACAGTTTTTCTTGTGAAATGATCTAACTTTGTTGAAGCTCTTTTTGATGGATGGAAACATCTTGTGTGTCTATGTGAAACACTTACTTGGAAGTCTTACCTCTCGACAGCTGGGGAGTCCGTTGTACCAGCCCACAAAGTCTTTGGCAGAGTACACACCAGCCAAGTCTTCGCCCGGTACTCCCATGCTCCGGTTTCCCTCTGCACCATAACTCTGTCACACAATTTACAGAGTTCAACAGAAACAGATGATTATTTTTCACATGTTTAAGGTGAAGGAGCTGTAGTGGGCTTTCACATCCTTACCAGTACGACAGCGTGGTAGGCTTGCTGCAGCTCGGTGATGCTCACATTCTTGCCTACGTTCACATTGCCATAGAAACTGCAGCGTGAATGCTTGGCCGTTTGCGTGAATGTGTTGATGACGTTCTGAGGACAAGAATCGGTAAAATTTAAGTTAGCAAGCTGGACTCTCCATCTGTATTTCAACTCCACCTATTATGGGAGTAATTCTCTATCCAGTGGTTAATGACCTCAGGACAGCAGATGACTAAAGTTTGTTGGGGTAAACTCTGCTTCAGATTCGCTCTCAGTTCTCTGAACACTCTGGCTGAAGTGAGGGCGCAGCCTCAAAAGAGTTTGGCAGGAGATAAGACGCATGACGTCCACGCTCTATCCGTGAATTCGACACGCCAGCACCTGCTTTTTACACATCTGTGTAATTAGAGACCTGGCGCGAGCAGACATCTGTGTTCACACATGCAGGTCTAGTTTTTAATGCTGCAGTGCATTTATTTACAGTGTTATTATCTATTTCTGGAGACGATGCCTTAATAACTATGCCAGATACAAAAGCCAGCAAAATTACGTCATGTTAGTTTCAGTTCAAAGTGTTTACCTGCATTTAGAAACAAGTACAGAACAGATCACAGAGCCCATTTTTTTGCATGTTGTAAGAACAAAGAGTTCATAAAGAAGTTCTAACGTCTTCACGATAGAAGGGCTGGAGGAAAAATGGATTTCCTTCACTTCACTGTTTGCTGACAAAGTGCAGGAAACTGACTGATGACTATATAAATAAAACTGAATTGAACTTTAGACTCAGACTGTAATAAGAACACAGCTCAATGAGTGCAGAGGTTGCCACCTTTCACCTCCCAGCTGCACTGAGATATGGAAGAGAAAACATGGTAGATGGGACAATGTTAATTATCCTCACTGTAATTTTTAAATGCCAGTTTTATTTCATAATAAATACACAATAATATACTTTCATTTGGGTGAACAGTCATCGGAAGATTTCAGGAGACAAAAGGCTGATGTTGGCGATGAAATGTTTGCATAATATTAAAAATAATAATGATGGAAGGACCAAACAATCTGTGAGAAGTGATATTGAAAATTCACAAATACCAATAATTCATTTAACTTTAGACATTTGTGGTTGTTCAGACGCTACTTAGACAGTAATGATAATCCTGTCTGAATATAGGCGCCTTAATGGAGCTGCTCATATGGATCCTGCTGCTGTATGATGCTGCATATATTTAATAAAGACTCTAACAAACAGCTTTAAGCAAAAACACAAATTCATCTTTTGATAAGCAAAATTTTAATGCATTAAAGGCAACCTCCAATATATTTGTGCCTTCTCCAGGACTTGAATTTGCTTCATAGATGAATGTGGAACCCAGTTTTAATTATTATTACATTCTTGAGTTGTCCGTGTGGCTGCTTTAACAACTACAATAACATTGTTTTGAACTCTCAATAATGCTTATGGAGCCAATGTTGCTTCTGAGAAAAATCTGATGTTAAGATTTGGGATCAGGAACAAAAACAAACAAAACTACCAGAAAGAGCAAGACTGAGCTTGAAATTGTCTCTACAACATCGCCTCTACAGATAACCACATACGTGGAGACAGACACACACACATGCATCGCATACACAGCTGTAACTTTCGCCCCGTTTCCCTGATGTGCAATAGTACCAAGTGCAATTTTTCCTACTATGACAAAGCATTTTATTCTGCTTTGTACAGTATGTTATTCTATTTTATCTTCTATTCTGTCGTGTTTTTCTTAAATCTTACTTTTCTTTACTTGTACTTTTTGCCGTGAGCAGAAAATTTCCCACGTGTGGGATTAAAAAAGGTTTATCTTATCTTATTACATTCAAACAAATTTGACAGTTAAGTCACAGGACGCTGATACTTTTGGCTGCCATCTTGTTCACATGGGTTCGCTCCACAGGATTTGGTAGATTTTTATGCTGGGTACCCCTTCCTGACCCAACCCCCAATAGATTTGTGTCTACTGGGATCAAACTGGGGATCTTTTCCAAATGTGTACACCACTACACTATTGGCCCACCACTCTCTTACCTTTATGATTAGTGGAATTAAAAGCAGTGAACAGCTCAGCAGAAATATCAGACCAGACTAGATCGATTCATGCACTCACTCATGTGCTTTAAAGATGAAATCAACTGCTGCTTCACAAGAAATGGTTGCACGTCACCGAAAAGAACCTTGTTGTTGTTTTCGCATGTTTTGCCTCAGTATTGACTGAACAAAGAAGACACACTAGTGATTTAAAAGTCTTGGTGTATTACTTTCAAAGTAGTATTTCTGCTGAGCTAGGCTAACCACATCTCTAACCACGATTATATCAGACATGCAAAGGTGACATTATTGGTTGTGGGAAACAAAGCGGACAGGTCTCGTTATTACCAGTATTTATCTGTCATTATATTTGCCAGCATGTTGGGATGTGTGTCCTGTTGAGGGTTGCATAATATTGCTTTTGTTGTTCAGTTACATTTTAATGAGTTGGGTGTGATGACATGGAAATATAGCGAGCTTCAAACACTGCATTCAACCTCAGACATAAACGTGATAACACCCTTTCACTGTAATGTTATTCACACTTCTAATGGAATTTCACTTCACTGACAGACTTATCTAACGTGTCTCTTTCTGTTGTGACTGGTCTGCATTAACCACTGACTGGTTTTTAATTTTCCATTAACGGTACCACAGGTGGTTACACAGTCTGGCGAAACTAAACAGACTTTAAGAAACGGGTTTGTCTGAAGAGTTTCTTTTTCCAAAACAAAACTAATCCCTGTGTTAAAAGATTTTCACTGCATCTGGTGTTAGAACTACTGAGGAGAAACTGGACTAATTAAATGAATCTTTTTTGTCCTTTTTGCTTAAAAACAGGTAATATACAGAAAATGGTTTGAGGCAATTATCTGTTCTTTAAAATCTATTAGAGGCAGACACCTTGACTTCAGGATGATCTGGGGCCACTCCGAACCTGACCAGGCCAAAGGGGACAGGCAGACGCTCATAAATGTCCACCTCAACATCTTGGCGAGCCTGAGAGAAAAAACAAACAAAATCCAAAATATAATGCGTAAAGCTTAAAGTGAACCGTTAATAAAGGCTTTAGAAAAAACAGAAACAATATTGTGTGGTTACAAAACTAACTGGAATATCTTTAGTTTTAGTCTTGAAATATTTTCAACACAGCCCAAAAATAAAAACCCTCAAAACCCAAAAAAACCACTAAAAATTAAATAATCTAAATAATTTTTTTAAACAAACCAAAAAGGATTGCTTGTTCGTGTCATCTCTCTAAAAAGAACACAGCAGCAGAGCTTAGAAAATCAACCACAGGACGTCTGGAATAAGATCCTTTGGAAAGATGAGGTCAAAGTGTAGATGCTTGGCATTAATGCATGGTGTGATGTTTGGTGAAAGCCAAACAACCACAGGGTCTCAGCACAAAGACCTCAAACCAACTGTTAAGTTGGTGGTGGAGGGGTGATGATTTAGGTTTGATTTGCAGCCACCTTGCCATAAATGAGTTAAAGTATGTTGTGCTGAATCAGACAACAATTAATATATGAACTTAAAAGCATATAAACACAACATGAAAAACATCAAAGAGCCACAGTGCTGCATGGCCAATGCACATCGTGTTGCTGTGTGTGGGGGGCATAGCTTGCAATGACATAACCTTGGGCTCAAAGACACAGCATACCCTGCAAGTTATTTCCAGTCGTATGTATGAGCATGTGCTCAGTAGGCAGCTCAAAGGCTATATTTTGGTTAGTGTGTGATAGCGTAGTGGTTTTGTGTACTAAGCAGGGAGAGGCATGCTGGCCGGATTTGGAGAAACTAATGACACACAAACAAATTGAAAAATTAACATTTAATTAACACACAACTATTGGGCAATAAATTAGTAGTCATTAGCAAATTCATTTAGAATTGGACTGCAGCTATTGATTATTTTAGTAATTGAGAATTCTACTTATTATTCCATCAGCTGTAAAATTGTATAAGAAATACTTCTGTCTTATTGTTGATATTCCAAGTTAATTCAAAATGTTCAAAATGCTTTCTTGCATCGATAGGAGAAAAAAAAAAAGATTTCTGACTCTATTGCATCACACAGATGAGGTAGATTTGGTGTTTGTTCATGTGCATGTGTTTTTTAACAAGTGTATGAATGTGTGTGTGTGTGTCTTTGAGTGTGCTAGTGAGTGAGTAAATATGCATGTCTGTAATCTTTTTAAAGAGTATGCGGTGTCCGCACTGAAGAAAAGAGATGATATCAATATTCTCAGAACTGATGCAACGTTTCCTGGAGCAGAAAACAAATGCTATGATGGTGCATGTTCTAATAAGCCACTGTCCAGTCTAACAGCACCAATTACCATTAAATTAACATAATTTATTTAATTTAATCTAAATTTTTTAAACCTTGAAAGAAATATGGTCTAATACACCTTACCACCCCCCCTACCTCCCCACCTTTAGACTCACCCCTGCTTGCTCTAGGTATCACTGTGACAGAAAGTAGGAAGGCTGCTGTCAGTCTTCAGCAAGCTGTGTAATTTAAACACTGTGGCATACTAAATTAAGAGTTCACCTACAGTTACCTGGTAGATTTCCCCCCTGCTTCTTAAGAACATAGCTTTCCTTTCCTTTTTTGTAAATGTGTTCCCCCCCCCCCCAGTAAATATGTTTTTCCTTTTTCCTCCACTTTGCCCAGTTTTTTTAAGGACATCCTGCACACACTGACATCCCGCACACACTGACATCCCTGCCGCCCCATCCCTTGGGTTAGCTGCCTTTTTAAGTGGTTTCTTAAACAAAAGCACTTTTTGAAAATGTTCAGGTATAATATGTGGGCCAAAAATGAGAGTTTAAAGAAAACTCTTTAAAAAGCCTGCTGAACTAAGACACCGCTTTAAAAATGACAAGAAGGGCCAGCTCATTGGAAGAACATTAAAAAGAAATCAAGGGTGGCTCAAGACTTTAGCACAGTACTACATATTCAGATATTTATCAGTATTGCCTACTATTACTCCTGTGTCTGTCATAACAAGCAGTCCATACCTTGATTAGATGCTGTGCTGTGTAGAAACCTGCTGGACCGCTTCCGACAATACACACCTTTGGGCTGCATGAGGACAATGAAGCCTTTCCACAGCCGCCTGCAAAAACACGTGACAAGTTCACGTCTAACTCATTGGAGTTGCAGCAAAACAGCAAGGCCTTAGTTTGAATTAAATCCTCTTAGTGAGCTAAAGGGTCTCAGTAAGCTAAGGCAGTGTAGTGTACAGCTACAGCCTACAGTGTTTTAATGAAAGGCTAGCAGAGTAAGGCATGCAGTTATACAGTATTTTGTTTTACTGATGCTCAGAGTTGCTTGATATATTAAGTACTGCTGAGTTAAATCAGCCTGTTAAAGTTTCTTCAAGCAGGTGTGTAGATCAGTCGATAAGAACGTTAAGTTGGCTAAATTTTGTTCTGGGTCTGGCACGCGTCCACACTGAATATCAAGTGTATTACGAGTAAACATTTCCTGATTACCGCACCTTTGTGAAGTCGCGCTATCCATCCACCTCCTCCTGAGGTCCACAGCTTCAGCTCGGAAAACAGCAGTTTATGAGCGCCCATAGCTTCCTGACTTAGACGAGCTGCCTCGTTTTAAAGCATGAAACGCTTAAACCCTCTCCGTTGCTTTCCTTGACCGTGGTGACCAGCTCTGCATAGCTGCCTCTCCTCTGAGCTTTGGACACTGAGCAGCGCTGAGTTCAAAAGCCAAGGTGGAAAACGCTTATCTTTACTCTTCCTTATATTTATTTATTTATTTTTAAAGCTTCGTGTCCTCAAATGGCTAGCTAATGCTAATATCGATTAATTATTTTACACATATGCACTTTATCACGTAAAACATCATTACCATAACAAACTGTTTTCAAGGCTGTACCTTGCGTTACGGCCATAACAGTCCGTGGGAAACCGGCATTGACAATTAAAGTTCCACAATGACGGCGTACATGATTAAGTATACATTTATTAGCGCCTTCCATTGACTTTTACACGTGACTGTCAGACTTACTTCAAGCTATGATATTGTGAAATGATGGCATTTATCTCAACCTTGTCTTAACAAAAATTATGAGTTATTTGTAAAGGATCGGAAAGGAACTATTTTACCCATAAAACTATATTGAAACAGTGATTGGTGAAACAGGATACTTAGTGACCGCGAAGTTAAAGAAACCAGGCGAACAAAGCATTACACATACACAACACAAACAACAAAAAATATAAAAAACTATAATAATACCTTACTACGCGAATGAAAAGGACTAAATTCAATAAATTTGGGAGTTATTTGCTGTGGAATCTTGGATTTGGAGTGGGTTATGGGATGATTAGTTCCTTCAGCGTTAAAAGTAATTATAAGCACAATCTTGTACGTTTCCTTTTTACTTTTGTATGTATGTATTTATTTAAAATTTATTTTTTTAAATCCAAATAAAGTATTTTTAGTCATGATTTACCTTATAGCTGGCAGCTGGTTGTTCAAGGCTTAAAACTGTTTTCTTTAATGGAGAAACGGAATCGCTTTATTGAAGCTTTTTTATGCTAGTAGGTACCAGTGCAATGTAACTTAGAACATTAACTCAAATACTTTGCTAAAATATGTGTTTTTTATGTAGGTATATGTGTCATCCTACTTTCGGCTTCTACTCCACTGTTTTGGTAACTACTGTGCTTTGCACAAATTACCAAATTAATTAGTTCACACCAATTAGTTAAACTGCAGGAATGTCTTAAAGACATAAAGACCTGGATGGCCGCTAACTTTCTGCTTCTTAATTCAGATAAAACTGAGGTTAT